TGACCCTCGGAAAACGGACTCATTTTGCGTCTACAGCTCAGATCAAATCCTCGGAGTAATCCATACCAAGATGGGAACAGTGGGAACTATCGGAGGATGCATGCAGAATCGAAGCACCCAACTGGGAATGAACCCGTTCTCGGCAACTTTCTACGGTGATTTGCAAGGAATGCAGTTGGAGAGGAAGAGTCCAGGGCGAGAGAGCATTGGAGTGAGTGAGCGCTAGCGAGACAGGGTGGGGGGCGTGGTGGGTAGATGTCGTATCGATCTTTGCAAGCTGCCCTTACCCAGGAACGGTTTGCTGTATATGTCCTTGCTACGGTTCCGCTATTTCTACTTATCTTTGCTATAAATTCAATCACTTCTTGGCGAACGATTGGAAATTAAAGGATGTTACTCATCGTGCTTGAGTTTGCGTGTTTCCTCCTCAATAACTTTTAGCCAGTTGCTGCACACGTGAAGAATTTTATGTGGGAGAAGTCCTGCAAGGCTTGCATGAATTGAGTTCACTTCCCAACGATGACGCTTGAGTTTCTCGTTTCCAATAGGTTTTTGAAACGGAACAACGGCCAGGAATACTGGCTTCCTGCCAATTTTTAGTTAGCACGATTACTCCTATGTTTGCTGCTCCCCATCCCAAATAGTGTTGCTCCACATTTTGAATTATTTAGGACGAAATTCCAACGTTCGTTCAGGACGACATTTCTTTGGGAATCCACAGAAGGAGGCTCGCTGGATAATTACCGTGACTAACACTTACTCCAATATGGTCCTACGACAGTTCCAAATTTGTCCTTGTCGCTAGCAGTGGGATTGAGTAAACATCGGAGACGAGCAATTGCATCGGTCAGGATTAGCGCATCGCCAAACTTCAGATATTTATTGCAAAACTGAAAATGTTGCTGAATAGGTGGGTTACCTAAGAATTACCATCCCGGGTGTATGTCGTTTGGCGCGATCCCCCCATCGCCCCGCCCATTCAACACGGTTTGCAAGCTGGACAACTCGTTCAAGCACCACGAAAAAGCCAAATAGTCTATGTAGGCAGGCAGAATAGAATAGAATAGAATACGAGTTGTCCAGCTTGCAAACCGCGACGAATGGGCGGCGCGACGGGAGGGATCGCGCCAACCGACCGCTTCCCATCATCCCAGGTGAATGGTAGAAACAATAGCTGTTCAGCATACAATATTAATAAATAAATTTGATATGAGAAAAAACTAATTAGAAGTTAGTGAATGGAAACAATCGGTGTGAAAATGTAGATGGAGAGGGGAGGGAGGTGGGCACCGCTGTCTTCAGCACTAACCGCTGGAGCATAGAGAAGGAAGGACAATCAGCTCTGTGGGCTTGTAATGATGCCCTCAAGCCACGTTACCGCTTACACTTTGAAAAGAAATGAATGAGTGGTTAACTGGATGTTCAATTCTTCTTCCACCCCAGCTTTTTGCATGAAATAATCATCTCACCCACCCCAGCGCTCCGCTGAGGACGTTTCCAAGCTCTATTATAGGATCCAAAGTTAGCTACCCTTTCTCTGCGCTGTAGCGCCTAAAGTTGAGGAAGTAGGGAGCGTCTAAAGCTGAGGAGTGGGGTGTCCCTCCCCTTTCTTCCACAACATTTTCACAGATTACGGAAGACAGAAGATAACTCATGTTGACCCTTGCTACTATATCGATTCGGAAGGTCCTTTTCATCGGTGTTATATGCCCGTTCAATCAACGTTACTACTGAAGTCGATCCAGGCTGACCCAACTGTACCATACCCGACTGCTTAGTGAACTGCTAGACAGGCTGTGTGAAATGACATACATTGGAGGGATTTCAACGTCCCGTGTATGTGTTACACCATAACCCCTTAGTCCACCACCCACCCCCGCAGGCTTCACTCGGGGTACCTTTCCTTTGCGTCGTATACGTGTCGAGTTTTTTGGAGGCGCTTCAGCGTGTGTTTGGGTTACTCGGTCACTCATTGATGGGACGATTAAATTCTTCTATGACATAGATATGCGAAATAGAACGTGAATCACGTGGAAACGCATCAAGGGAGTGACATTCCCGAATTATATCGACCGGTTATTGACACGTCAATATATCGATCGACGGGAGATGGCGACGAGCGGAACTTGAACGAGGTCCTATCTTTTTGTCGTGAATCACGCAAAAAACCCGTGCATTGTTAAAAGATGGATCTCGTGACTATCTGATGTAACCAACATTGGGACAGAATGCGCGTGGGTCCGTTCAAGCTGTTTTGTACCTACACCAAAACCGCTCCAGAACCCTAGCCGGTCCGGCTGAGACTGATTGATATAGCATAACTGCTGTCTTCAGAGTCTTCAGAATTCACATTAATAACTTCTCAAATTGAATAGAATAGAATTGCAAAAAATGCAGGGGATAACAGGTGGACGGAATGGGGGACGGAACTTACGTGCGTCCGAGGATGCGCGCGGCAAACTGCGCGGCGAAGTGCGTGGGGATTCCAACGACTCTGGCGCCTATCATTGGGGCCCAAATTTGAAGTAGAGTAGATCGGTAGTATCAGCTGACCCTACTAAACTACTCTACTTCGAGTTTGGGCCCCAATGCTAGGCGCCAG